TTCCATGTGCCCAATGTTTAGGCATGTTCCATATTAAACAGTATTTTTTAAAAAAATTATTTTCGCCAGGCATAGTGGCTCATATAATCCCAGTGACTCGGAAGGCTGAGGCAGGAGGATCACTTGAGCCCAGGAGTTCAAGGCTGCAGTGAGCTCTGATCGTGCCACTGCACTCCAGCCTGGGAGACAGAGTGAGACTATGTCTCTAAAAAAAAAAAAAAAATTATTTTCTTTAAGATTAGAATCACCAATTGAATCTTCCAAGGAGGCCAAATGACTGGAAATAATCTTCAGTAACTGCTAATCGGAGTTGGATTTAAACCGACAACTTAAAAATAAAAATCTCATGTTTCCCAAACTTTTATCTGGTTGGGTAAATTGTTTTTTAGCATGGAATTATGTACACTTAAATCGTGGTGTGTGCATGTGGTCAGCGCTACTTTTCTTTTAAGTGGGCTTGTTTATTTAAAAGACTCAAAATGAGAAGTTGTTTTGCTCACTCAGTTGGGGTTTATTGTAAAACTCGATGCCAGAAAAAGAAAGAAGTACTGTTTTTGTGCTGTGACTGTGTGAAGTGGGCTACAAGTGAGCCAGAGAGAGGATATTCATGGTACTTTTTTCTCTCTGCCCAAAGAAGGAAAGCTCTAGCAACCAGCAGAAGGCATTTGTAGGGATCTGGGGTTACGAACACCCGATGATGCATCAACAAATGATTTCAAACACAGTAATGCCCACTGTACATTTTTACTATTATTCCTTTGCAATAGTTAGAATAACACTAGAATTAAACAGTAATGTCCAGTATATATTTTTACTTTTATTCCTTTGCAATAATTAGAATAACACTAGAATGAAACTGCTGGAAAGCAAAGTGGAAATGCTTTTGTGTTGGTAGATGACATTTCTTATTAAAGGGGTCAGTTTGATAGCCATGGAAAAGAAAGTGTTATTTTGCCCTGCTCTGTGCAGTGGAGCATCGTGAGTGAAAATCTCACCCTCTAACTACCCATGGGGCAGCCACGTAGCATCAAAGCAGTTGAGCGAGTCATGCGATCCCATGTCAAGAATCACGGAGTCATAGACCTATCGCCCACGCAGACCCTAGGGGGAGTATGAGCCCTGTCTTGATCTACAAATGAGTGAAGAAGGGGGTCCAGAAAGACCACATGGCTCACCTAAGGTCACACAGTTGATCTGGGACAGGGATACACACTTCTCTTACAAGAGTGAGAATATAACTACACACACACACGCACACAAAGCTTAGAAAATTATTCTAATCTTTCAAGTTACTTTATTTTTTGACTATGATTTAAATCCTCCTGAGTGCAGCTCAGTTATCCTCTAAGCCAGGAATCCTTCTAAAATTCTTCCCCCCGCCCCGACCCCCAGGTTGGGCTAAGAACTCTTCTTCATATACCACCTCCTGCATCTCTCTTCCTTAGCTCTTGTTACATTTTGTAGAAATTAGCTGGTTACGTTTCTGCTGATAAATCCCTCACATGCATTCCTCTTTAAAAGGTGTCTCATTTATTTTTTTGTTCTTCTTTGTACTTTTAAGAAATGGAGTAACTACAAGAAGTATTAATTGCCCTTCCTCCTGTTGTTGCAACCGTTGTTTTTTCAGTGACGCTCTGAGATGCTCCGTTTTAATCATTCCGATGAACCTGGGCACTGGAGCTTTCAGAAGGTGATGGTAGGTTAGAGCCTAGGGTCTCTGGGCACCTGAATTCTCTGACAGGGGAAAGCTGTTCTGAGCCAGGTTGACACACTGAACAGCCCTGCGCTGTTGGCGTCAGTGTGATGACCAGCTGCAGATAAACAAGGGGGCCCTCTGTTCTGCTAGTGGCTGAAACATCATAGGAATGAGAATGGAATAACCTTTATGAACCCTAAACCGCACTGCCTGGACAAATATAAACTATTAACAAAGATGGCACCTTAGTGTTAGTGAGATTCCAGGTTTCATTCTTTTTTTTACACTTTTTGCTATTAAAAAATATATCAAACATACAAACAAGTATAGGAAATAATGTTCTGAACACTCTTGAACCCACCAGTCAGGCCTATTAAATCTTAACTTTTAATATTTTTCTTTTTTTCCTTCCCTACCCAGAGGCCACTCTGAGATTCTAAATTTAACTCTTCGGGGCCTCCCTTAATGCAATGGGACAGGAGCTGTGTCTTGCAGCAATAAAATCATAATTTTGGAACCACTACAAGATAACAACTATAATGGTTTGAAATGAGTCAGTGAGATCAGACTGCAGAGAGCCCAGATTTTTCAGACCCTAGATTCATGGCTAGTTGGGATTGCCCTGAGGGATGAGGAAGGATGGTGGCCCCTGAAAGTCATTCATCAAGGTAAACCTCAGGCAGACACAGTTTGAAGAAATGTATGGTTTAGGAGTAGTGCTTTTCAAATTTTTAAAATTTTAATCCACAATAATAAATTTTGCATTGTGACCCTGTACACACCACACACACACACACACACACACACACACACACACACACACACACAGAGAACACATGTCTCTGAACAAAAAGCTTTAATGAAATTATTGTTGTTATATTTATTCTTTCTTTGTTAGCTGCACTAAATATAGTCTATCTTGTTTGGTTGTTTTTACAGAAGCCGTTTTGTTCCAATAAATTGATTTCACATGCCATTAGTAGATAGGCACCCACAGTTTAACAAAATACCTGAAACAAAACCTGGCTTGGGGAACTGTTACTTGTTTCATGGAGCAAAAGTTTTTAAAAAGGTATATTTAGTTTAACTTCTGCTGAACATTTTCATAAAAAGCTTTTCTCTACCACTGACCTATGGTTAAAGATTTATGCCACAATTTACTAATAACAAATCCCACGTGAAACTAAGCAGAATTCAGAGCTCTTTTGCGGTTCAGGTTATTCTGTGTCGTGCTACTTTTCTGTAAAGCTCGCAACCTTCTTCAACCATTGCCTTAAGGCAGCCTGTCTAGATTAAGTAAACAGAACTTGAACACAGTGACTTAACTATACTGTATAAATTCATGATTGTTAAGCCACAAAATCAACCTTTCCAAATAAAACTGAGCGTTAAGTCAAACTGCCAAGTGAAAAAGAACAGCTATGGAGCCCTCAGCTCTCCCTTTCATCGTAGTTTACCTCTGCACAATGCTGAGTAAAGGCCAGGCGAGGAAGAAAGTGATGTAAGTGTCGTTTTATCCTCACTAAATGTCATCCGTTTTTGTGTGACCAGGCTGCCATCCTCTTCACATGAGGTACCGGTAATGATCACCATAGCAGGGGTTTATTTAGCACTTTCGTTCAAAAGAAGTTTATAGAATTGGACTCAGAAAGGTGCAGCTTGCCCTCCAGGGAAGCCAAGGAGAAAATTACATTTAATGCATATTAAACAAGCAATTGTTGGAGATTATGAGCTCGATTGATTCCAAGATCCTAAAATGAGTCAGCTCGCTCCAAAATGTTACCAGCAGCCACTTTAAACATTAATGAGGTAGCTGGTTTCTTAAATCTGGAAGAAGGAGGAGGTTTTGTTTCAGCCAAGTATTTAACAGAAGAGGAAATACAGTTCTACCTCAGGAAATTTAAATGGGACTGTTGAATAACTGGGAAAGAATGTCTCCTTTGGATGAGAGGGCATAGAAGAAGTTAGCCGATTTTCAGGCAAAATAACAAATGTGATAGCTGTTCTATTTTGTGTATGCATTTGTGTATAAAACTACATGTAACTTCTAGAAAGGCGGTTCTTAAGTTTTGTGATCTTATGACCCCTTTCCACTTTTAAAAATTATTGAGAACTCCAAAGAAGCTTTGCTTAAGTGGGTTATATCTATCAATTTTTATCATTTTAAGAATTAAAACTGAGAAATATAAAAGTATTTGATTCATTAAAAATAAACCCATTATATATTAACATAAACATCTTTATTTAATAAACTACATTTTCAAAAATTATTGAGAAGAGTGTCATTGTTTTATATCTTTGCAAATCTATTTAATGTCTGGTTTAATAAATGACATCTTGATTTTCATATCTGCTTCTGCATACAGTCTGCTGTGATACGTTGTTTTGCTTGAAGTACATGAAGAGATTTTAGTTCATACAGACATGTAAATTAGGAGAGAGGGGGCCTCAAAGCCCCCTGAAAGGTTCTCAGGGACTCCCAGGGAGCCTTGGGGCACACTTTGAGAACCACTGTTTTATAAAATAATTTGGAAGAATTATACGTTAAAAGTGGCTATCCCTGAGTGGTGGGATTATTAGTGATCCTGATTTTTTTTTTCTTTTCATTTGTTTAAATTTTCTACAATGAAGATGGATTACTTGTGCAAACTAAAATTGAGAAAGAAAGCACATACTCATGTTTAGAGATTATGAGGCCTTGGAAACCCAGGCAGAGAAGTTTACACTTGGGAAACCAAGGAGCCACCATAATGTTTTAAATAGGAAAATGACTCCATATGAGTTGTGTTTGGGAGGAAATGGATTAGAATTGGAGGAGAGGAGAGGAGAAGGAGAGACGGCACTTCCGAGTTTTTTGCAGTCATCTAGGTGCGTGGCGCGGTGAGCCAGATCTCGTGTTGAGGCAAACAGAAAGGGACAAACTCTGAAAGACATTTTGAAGGCAGAACGACCAAGACCTGGATAGAGGGAATAAAGGAGAGGGCGGAGTCAGAGATGACTGAGAGTTCTCAAGTTAAAACATCTGGAGAATGTTTTCTCCCTTCTTTCCAACTTCAACCTTTTCTGAACATGACATAGATGAAGCTAATTGGAGTCTTGTCTTGTTTTGCAGAGTTGGCCATCGCGTTCAACGGCTTAGGAGAAAGCCGATACACTTCCCGACCTGAATCCATCCCAGCTGCTTCCAGAAGGCTTCCAGAAGGAAGGGCGGGATTGTCCCTATGACATCCCAGGAGAGCGGCTCTCCCCCGACCGGGCCGTGAAGGGCGCGTGCCAGGCGCGCGCGCGCCCGCCGTCCCCGCCTATGCACTCCACCACCCCCATCAGCTCGCTCTTCTCCTTCACCAGCCCCGCAGTGAAGCGACTGCTCGGCTGGAAGCAAGGAGATGAAGAGGAAAAGTGGGCGGAGAAGGCGGTGGACTCTCTGGTGAAGAAGCTGAAGAAGAAGAAGGGCGCCATGGACGAGCTGGAGAGGGCGCTCAGCTGCCCGGGGCAGCCCAGCAAGTGCGTCACGATCCCCCGCTCCCTGGACGGGCGGCTGCAGGTGTCCCACCGCAAGGGGCTGCCCCACGTCATTTACTGCCGCGTGTGGCGGTGGCCGGATCTCCAGTCCCACCACGAGTTGAAGCCGCTGGAGTGCTGCGAGTTCCCCTTTGGCTCCAAGCAGAAGGAGGTGTGCATCAACCCCTACCACTACCGCCGCGTGGAGACGCCAGGTGGGTTTCCTGCACCGTGGCCGGGTTTATTTGCCAGGGTAAAGTCACGCGCCCCGTTGACGGAGAATGATGGAGCACCAGCTAAAAGGACCTCTCCCCTTGGGAGAGGGCGAGAGAGGGAGGCAGAAGAGAGGCAGGTTCGGTTTGAAGGAACTAATCAAAAATTTTGTAGTCCGAAAATATCTAGGAAGAAGATATTTTCTTTCAATATACATGTCAGCTTTGTGTGATTTTGGAAAATACAGTTTTATTTTGATGTATTTAGGATGAGTCAACATGATTTCCCAGTTCTTGAGGCCCTGAAAGCTTTTAAAATGGCCTTGATACTGATTAGCTTTGAGATATGAACCTCCTCCCCTCCCCCCCAACTAAACCAAACTGCGCTAAACTAAAGAAGGTTTTTTGGCTGCCACTTTGCCCAAGATCAGGTAAGTGGAAGGTGTCTTATATCTAGGTCTGAAAGCAGCCAATGAAATTGTTGCTTGACGTTATTCCAGACGGTTTTTAAATATGGTTTTAAGTATAGTCATGCTTCACTTAAGGACAGGGAAAGTTTCTGAGAAACGCATCCCTTACGTGGTTTCGTCCTTGCGTGAACATTGTGTGTGCTTACACAAACCTGACAGTGCATCCTACTACACACCTACGCTGCGTGGTGGGCCCTATGGCTCCTGGGCTATACACCTGTACAGCATGTAACTGTACTGAACACCGTAGGCAGTTGTAACACGATGGGGAGTATTTGTGTATCTAAACATAGAACAGGTACAGTAAAAATATGGTGTTGTGATCTCGCAGGACCACCGTCATATATGTGGTCCTTTGTTGACCAAAATGCCATTAGGGGGCGCATGACTGTATAGGAAAGTACTGTTCTAAAACTCTTTCCACAATATATGTGTGTGTACACGTGTGTTCCACCTCCCCTTTCTGGAGAAGTCTGGTGTTTTTCTTCACTCCTTCAAACTGGCTGTGACAGGGTTTTACTGTGATTCTGTTTGGATTGAGTATTTCTGTGGCATTCCAGGCAGGAATATGCACTTCGTGGAGGCTTTTTCTTTCGGATTGGCCATTTGCCTCATTCCAGGAAACCAAAGGGCTGACACTTTAGCTCAGGGAAATTGCCCATGTCCAATTAAGAGATGGTCCTGAGTAAGAAGGAAGCCTCAAGAGTTCAGCTAACCTGAAAGCAATATTGAACAAGTGATTCATGCCTGGCTTAAATTAGTCTTAGCAAGGCGACCTTTCAAGCTCCGCAAACTTGCCCTCATGTTGTAAAATGGTCATCACAGAAGTCATCTGCCTGTGTGTAAGCTTCTCATGGCCACCTCATGCAGGCATTGGGACCCTGTGTGAAAAGGTGATTAGAAGGTCCCACACTCTTGGCAAATATGAACTCGTTTTCCCTGAATCATGGAGGTCTTCCTTTCTTCCCTTCTGTCCTGCTCTCTTTGGACTCTGTTTACATACTTAAAAAAAAAAGTCAATAATGTTTGTTTCTGACAAAAATGACTTCATTTCTTTTTATGTATCCTAAGATTTGAATTATATCAAGCATCCAAAATACACCCAAATGGAAAATGTTCATTAAGAAATCACTTTTCCTGAATAGTGTAGTTTTCAAATGTAACAACTTGTAAGAAGTATCTTGTAAAATAGATCTGGTTTTCCTTTTGAATATTTAAAAACCTAATTTTAAAGAATTATTCAATATTTTAGTTTTTCACATTATGTAAGGTCCTTTTAGGAATGATAACGTGAATGTTTTACATATGGTAGATAGATTTCCTGTTATTGTATTTTAGATTTGAATTTCCAGAATGAAAGAGGAATAAAGATTATATTAATTTAAGGTAATTGTTAAGCCACATAGTTTTTTTTTTTTTACTCCTAACTTTGATTTTTTTTAATACAAAAAGTGAATTTTATGTCTAGCTATCTAGTCATGTTCAAAATAAATAATTTGAGACTAACAAAAATGCTAAGGTTAAAGTTGGCTGAGTTCCTAATGTTAAAGCTTAAATTTTGCCTTTGAAATCTCTTATTTGTTGACCATCCCTTTTAGGTACTTTGAAGGCTACATTTGGATTCTCTTTTCATACATTCACTTAAATAATCAATTTCAGTGCTTCTCAAGCTATCTGTGGTGAGGGACTAGTGTTTGTTTTTTAAATTTCCGGTCCTTCAAATCCATACTTTTACAATACAAATGAATCACTAGGTACATGAAATTTTAAAAAGGCTTATAAAATACAAGCCCAATTTTAAGAATTATTTATTTCAACAGATATAAAACAGCAACTGTCAAATTGCTATTAAAACCATCTCAGCACTCATCTCTCCATGGACTGGTACCCAATAGTTGGTGAAGTGTGTCCGGTCATCAACCACACTCTGCCTAGCACGGGCCTATTGGAAAACAAAAATGTTTTCACGGTGCATGATGATTTTACTCCATTCGGCTGGAGGTTGTTTCAGGAGTGTAATTTCTCCTTTACATAAAATATTCACACTATATCAAAATCATATGACTTTTGAAAAAGAGACAAAAGTTTTTTTTCAGCTCTGCTTTGCACCCGTATGTTCCCTGTATCTCCCTGTGTAGCACTGGGATTTAAAGATAGCGTGGTATTTAAAAGGTGGCATAAAATAGAAACGGATGTCTGTAAGCTCACTGTGTCATATTTGCAAGCAGTAGTTGAGATGCGGAAATGGAATTAAGTAATTAGGAATAGCTGTGTTTTGAGTGAACGTATTTAAAAATATGATCAGTGCAAATCTAAGTAACCAAGCCGGTCAGGCTAAATAACGGATCAGGGTGATACCATCAGTTTTCTTTGCAAACATTCACTGCTTTTGGTTTCACCAAGATGGTAAAAACATATTATCAAGATATTTGTTATGATAAAGGAAAATATATCCTTTCTTTTCTCTTGGTGCCTTAGATCTGCAGGTCATGAAGAAATAGAAGTCTCTGGATTCAGAAGGGGGTGAGGCATTATGTTAATCAATGTTAGGATTGCATCGTAAATATCTTGCATTCAAACTGCAGTCACAGAGATTATTCAAATTCTTCTTCATCAAAGAAAATGACTGTTTATTTGAACATTCTTAACTTTGTGATGAAGAAGTGTCATTGGAAAAAGAAGCCATATGTCATTTGCTGTGTCAACCCCTCCCTTCAAACTGTTTATGAGGCATGTTGTCTTTGTATTCCTGCATAGTCATCAAATACGTTAAAGGAAATTCAGTGGTTTATCGCCCATGTCACTTTTGGGTGCTAATGTTAAATGTCTGTTCTCTAATGTCATAAGGAAGTATATGTATGTAAACACTAGCTTGTAAAGGGGGAAGCAATTGTTTGTTTCTCTGCCACTCTCACCTGTAGTGGTTTTAGTTTAAAACCTTTAATTTACCCTTTTGAGTTATTTTCTGTCTATAGAGCTGAAAATTATTGCTTCTTAAGAAAGATAAATGTATCATGGCAGAAGGCAAATGGCAGACTTTGTGGTGAATGTTCCTGTTATTACTATTGTTATTGTCTGTTCATTCCAAAACATTGACTTCTTTTAAAGACTTAATTTTTTTTAGAGAAGTTTTAGAACATTTACTTTTTAAGAAAGTTTTTTTATTAATACGATACTTGCATAGGGTGACAAATCAGAAGTGTGATAGAAATAAGAGCCATCCTATCCATCCCCAGAAGCAACCTCTTTTGACCATTTCTTGCTTACTTCTTTGGTATTTCTCTCCATCATTACTAAAAACTCTGGAGGTAATTCTAGATAATACGCTTATACATCTGTTTCCAAATTTATCACCTTTAGATGATTTCATTGTTTCTCTAACATAAAGGATGAGGATTTAGCTCATTTACATTACCTTCTTCCTTCCTTCCTCTTCTCAATCCTTGATAACTATATTTTAGTTCATAGTTTATATTAATTTTTGGTTATTCTACTGGTTTCTGTTGTGGAATTTGGGGATAGGAATTATTTGCCCTCAGAAGAGCATTGGTCCATTGTCCTCTAGCAGCCAGTGTTGTGGCAGAAAGTTGAAGTAGGTTGATTCTCATTTCTTAGTAGCTGACTTTGAGGTGATCCTCTTGGAGCTTTTAGAATATTCCATTTACCCTTTGATGTTTAAATTTAAGACAGAATGACTAGGTCTGGATCTTTTTTCATTACTTGGGCTCTGCATACTCTATGGCTTTTGTGTGTATGAAGACATAGATACTTTTTAGTTCTCAAAAGTTTTCTTCTGTTACTTCTTTGATTACTTCCTCCTTTGTTTTCTCTGCTTCCCTGTCTGGAACTTACGGTAGTCACAGGTGGCACTTCAACATTTATGGAGTACCTCCTTTATGCCAGGCATGGCAACCCTTTAGGATCCACAACTTTAGGAGTGGATAGGAGCTACAGGTGCCCAGGCAAAGCTTGCC